AAGGGAAAAGGTCTATCCAGGGAAAGCAGGAACTGAGTGGCCCCGCCCCCGCTTCAGAGATCGGCCTTTTCAGCGACCTTGCTGACAGAGGACAAGTCTGCATCCTCTACCACCGTGGCACTCATGCCCAGCTAGGAAGAAATAGGAAGTTAACAACATGCAAAAAAAAAAAAAAAAATCTTTGGGCAAAGCAAAGCACAAAAGCACACAAACCCCTCGATCTGAAACCCTTTGTTGGGAGTCTCTGCCTAGACTTGCCCACTGGGCGGCCCAGGAGCACGCAGCCTCCCAGGGAAAAACCCCACCTTCCTCCCGAGGAGAACCCCGATAGATGAAAGACCCCAGGAACGCCCACCCTGCTCCCAGCACCCAGTCCTGTGCAATCCACGGGCAGAAAGCAAAGCAGTTCATCTAACAATGAAAGGCCAGCAACTGTGACAGCTCCAAAGATGCTCAGAAAATGGCAGAGCTGAATTAAGTAGGACAGATTCGGGGACTGGCACTTTCTAGGGAACTAATGACTGCCTGAGGAGCTGACGGCCCCAGGCGAAGCCAGGGGCCGTTAACCCTCACCAGCCCCAGCCGGCGGCCAGCCGCAGGGGGGAGCAGCGCCACAGGCCAGGGCCCCCCAGCCCGGGCGTGGGCGGCGCGGCCCGACCTTGGGTCACTCAGCACCAGCGCAGCCGCGTGGGTGTCGCCCGCTGCGAACACGGAGCCCAGAGGACGCGCCCCGCACCGGCCGCGAGCGGCAGCGGCAGCAGAAACGCGGCGGAGCGAAGGGCGGCGGCAGTGCCTGGCCACAGTCCGGCTCAGCCCCGGGAAACACCGCCGCCCCGCGCCAGCTCCGTGTCTGTCCAGGCACGCGGTCACGACGCCTGCCCCGACGCGGCCTCACCGGCTCCCCCGCACCCCACGCTGCAAGCGTGGACCCTTCGGACCCTCGGCCCGCGGGGATCCCTGGGGAGACAGAACCCGCCTGAGCGCCCCCGGTGCCAGCGCCTGGCCGGTGCCACGCGGCATGCCACAGATGGACGCCAGCAAACTGCACCGACCGTGTGGCTCAGTGCGGAGCCACGGGGTGGGGAATCCCCATCCTCACGCTCTCGGAGAAGCACCCGGAGCTCAGGTCACCCTCCGTCAGGAAACGAGCATGGGGACCAGCTACCGGAGGCGGGGCGTGCAGAGAAAAATGCTCATCCCTCCCGACACCGCCGGGGTCGGGGGGCACTGAGCTCCGGGACAACGGGACGGCCCGCGCTGCGCCCGCCCCCGGGTCTCCCCCGCCACCACCACCCCCCGGGTCTCCCCCGCCACCACCACCCCCCGGGTCTCCCCTGCCACCACCTCCCCAGTGCTGCGCCCGCCCCCGGGTCTCCCCCGCCACCACCCCCCGCACCACCCCCGCCCCCGGGATTCCCCAGCCACCCCGCCCCTGCGCTGCGCCCGCCCCAGGGCCACAGGGAACACGCCCGGTGTGGAAGAAACATGCGGTGTGTGCGAGGAAGTGTGCATGTCACACACGAGAGAAACACGCGGCACAGAGGAGGAACATGCGTGCCACGTGTGGGAGGAAACATGGCACACGCACGTGCGCATAGGGCGTCACTTGTGCGCGGAACCCGTGTGCGGAGTCGGGGAAGGAGCCTGCACCGGGGCGGTGACAGCACAGCCTCAGGCCGGCCGCCTTCGCGGAGGGAGGCTGCAGTGCACCCGGCAGAGACCGCCGCGCCCCTCCCACTGTCACCACGACCTTGTGCCCAGAGCTCACGCCCAGTTCCCCATCTCCGTGAAAGCTGGCTCGGAGCACAAGTCTACCAGCTCACGTGTTGTGTACCTACCACACAACACAAGGGGGGTGAAGTGTGGGCTCATTAGCACACAAAGTCAGCATTTGTTGAATGAATGAACGCAGGCCTGCATTCCCAGGAGCCTCACACCCGTCCCAGAAACCGAAAGGGAAGCACCAGCACGCACCCCTTTCATCTGGATTCACACACCAAAGGCCAGGCAGGGGGCGAAGCCTGGAAATAGGGAGCTCTCAGCCTCCTCCTTCCGCCTTCCGTTCAGCCCTGGCTACAAGGCAAACCGAGGCCAAAGGCTGGAGCCTTCCAAAGCAGTGTGACAAGGAAGCTCCGAAGGGGGGACAGCAGGTGACAGCACCCAGGGAGCCGCCACCCACAGAGCCGATTCAGAAAAGGTTTCCAAATAACTACCTCCTTGTTGCCATAAAATATAACTTAATTAGACAACTTTTCTGTGCCTACTACCACTGGCTGGGTTTCGCTAAGAATGATTAGTAAGGACAAAAGTCATTCAATACAAAAAGGTTTCTTTCACTAGATCCAAGGACTGATGCCCATATTCTCGAAACCAGGACTGTCTGCATCACGAAACTACCCTGATAACACAGGGCACGCAGAACTGGAAACTACTTTTGTCCCAGGGCACTGGTCTCACTCACCAACCCCAGGGACCCACAACTCAAGGGACAGTGGTCCCCAAGAGGCAGTCCCAGAGCCTGCGAGAGATGCACGTGCTGGGGCCCAACCCCAATGTGATGTTGCTCCAAAAAGGATTTAAGGAAGATTAAAGCAATTCATGTCATTCAGGGCTCAATCCTTTCCTGGTTCATAACCAAATGGCATATAATTTTGGCTGAGAAAACCAGGTATAATATATCCTATTCACATAACTTATGAATGACTTCATTGCCTCATTTGGTATGTAATTCATTTAGCTTTAATGGAAGCATCTCTCATAAGATGATAATAAAGTCCTCCCTAATCTCAGAAAGTTAAAAACTGACAACTCCACCGAAAAGGTTAATGGGACAGCCTCGGAACTGAGGGGAACGAAAAAGCAAGTAGATGAGGAAATCGCTTCGCGGGCTGGAGACAGAGCCCGCTGGGATTCTCTAACACCCGTCCTCTGACAGACTCCTCACAGTCAGCCTGCAGACTCCCACCACCCCCCAGCTCTGCCCCTCCGTCACCGCAGCCCCCAGACAGCACAGTGTCATTACGTGGCTTCCTCTTTCCCGGCGACATGGCCCCTGGACACTAGTTTTATAAATAAATCACCCTCATCTGACATTTTCCAAAGGTAATACACACACACATTCAGAGAAGTGAAAATCAGAAAGACAGTTTACCCCACACACACTCAGATCACCCAGAGGTAACCGGGGCGCAGACTTTGAGGCCTTTCGACGGACTAGTTTCCTCCCAGTCGATTCTATGTAGAGATTCAGTTTTGTATTTTATCCACTACTTTTCTAATTGAGGTATAATTGGTACAACATTACACTAGATTCAGTTACACATATAATGATTCAATACTTGCCTCTATTGACAAATCACCTACTTTCTTAAGACAGTAGTGATCACTCAATATATATGATTTTAACATTTCACTGAATCCCTAACAAGTCTTAAATTATGACGCTCATGAGGAGTTTGTAACTTAGTGCAGTGCATGACCTCCTCCCCACAGGGAGGAGCCAGGCTCGACAGGGGGGAATTGTGTGAACCTGCCACCATCCACCCTCACGCTGGCACGTTCTGATTGCTCCTAACAGTTTCACAATTACGTGTATCATTGCAGTAATGGTCCTTGTATATGACGCTTTCTGTTTTGGGTACAGGAAAAAAATGTTAAATAACATAAACATTTATTTGTAAAGCTCTGGATATATGTCACCAAATCAGCTGCCTGATTTAAATGACTTAAAACGATTTTAAACAATTTAAAATCCCTCATCAGGGCGCCTGGGTGGCTGAGTCCGTTAAGCATCCAACTTTGGCTCAGGTCGTGATCTTGCAGTTTGTGGGTTTGAGGCTCGTATTGGGCTCTGTGCTGACAGCTCAGAGCCTGGAGCCTGCTTCAAATTCTGTGTCTCCCTCTCTCTCTGCCCCTCCCCTGCTCACACTCTGTTTCTCTCACTCTCTCTCTCTCAAAAATAAATAAAAATTTAAAAATAAATAAACAATAAAATCCCTCATCTTTTTTTTTTTAATGTTTTATTTATTTCTAGGAGAGAGAGAGACAGCGTGAGCAGGGGAGGGTCAGAGAGAGAGGGAGTCACAGACTGATACAGGCTCCAGGCTCTGAGCTGGCAGTCAGCACAGAGCCCGACGCGGGGCTCGAACCCACGAACCGCGAGATCATGACCTAAGCGAAAGTCAGACGCTTAACCGACTAAGCCACCCAGGCGCCCCTAAAATCCCTCATCAATATATGAGAGTGGCAATTTCACTATCCCCCACCCAGCACCAAATACTCTTTCACAGCTGTCACAGCCATGTCCCCCATGTGACAGTGGTCACTGGATGGACACCCTGTAGCGTGTAATATTGCCTTTTGTGCTTTCCCGAGGGTCCACGGTGCACATCTCCAAAGCATCCTCAGCACCTGTGAGGTACAGAAAGTAGACGGCTTGATCCCTATTTTGGTGATGAGGATAACGAAGTCCGGCAAGGTTAATCCATGCCATCAGGGTCGCAAGTCCGTGTCAAGCCGTGAACCGAACACTGATCTGTGAGGATCCAACACCCCTTCTACAACAATGGCCACAACCGCAAGGGGCCCATGCTTGTGTCTGGACGTGGCAACGGAAGCCTGGAGCTCGAGGCTGAAATGGGACTGTGGCCTCATCCAGGCTCGGCCAGAACGAATGCTGTGAGCACACAGGGTGGTCGACCAGGGGCCCACATGGAAGCGGGGATGCCAACCACACCCCCAGCCTGTTTCTCGGTCCTTCATACGGTGACCCCCACATCACCGCAGCAAACTAAACCACAATAGTACTGCCACAAAATAAGTTTAAGTTATTGAACTCAATTATTACCTACGGTTGGCTATTTAAATCCCAATGAGAGTTTTATTTTGTTTGTGTGGCATTAATTTTCTCAAATGGTGCTTGAAAAATCAAGAGCAAAATGGTTATACAACTAAGAATAGGCTTAGTAATTAACATGTATACATTTGTCAAAAATAGTTACCTGATTATCATATTTAAGAGACTGCGTCCCAACCAAAAACCGAATGGCATCTGTTTCTGCAGTCTGAGGTGTCAGAGCACGTGCCTGCGGGAGGGAAGGAAAATGCACACACATTTATGAAGTTAAATGTAACAGTTAGAGATTAAAAAGGCAGTTACCTCCTGTACTGCCGCTGGAGTATCCGCTCGTACAAAGTGTCTGCAAGGCAACTAGGAAATATGTACGGACAGCCTTCAACTTGTGTATGCTTTGTGACACAACAATCCCCCCTCCGGTGTGTACACGGAGACAACTGCAGATGGGCACAAAGAAACAAGAAATAAAGACGTAAACGGTGTTTTTAATAAAAGCGCAATTTTCAACTGAAATAGATTGGTTGAACAAATCATCCTTTGACAACACAGCGGAAAACGGCTCCCAGCAACGGCAGAGCGGGAGGCTGAAACCACGTCTCCTGCCGAGGACAACTGTACAAACTGAACAAAATACTCTGAATTTGTTTCAAGGCCTCGGGAAGGCAGCATAGTGATAAGTCCCAAGGTCTTGGAAATGAGGGAAGGTCAGAGAGGAAAGCCTGACCTAGAGCCCCCTTTCAGCTAGAGGCACCTGTCAGTTTGGAAAGTGTGGTTAGCAGCTGATGGGGGGGAGAGCTTTGTAACAGGCTCCTGGGGCTGAGGGTACACACAGTGAGTGCACAGAGAAGGGGTCAGCAAAACACTAAAGCTCTGGGTGGGGATCCCTTGGGGTCAGGCCAGGAGTGAAGGTGGACTAGAATGAGGTCAACCTGGACACACTAATGATTTGGGTCATCTTAGTCCTCGATTGGATTTTAAGTGATCTGAACAGGCTGGTGCTCCCGGGCCGGCCAGACACCTGCCAGGAGTAACAATAAATCACCTGGGAGAAGACAGACGTCGAAAGTGTCTGCAGTTTTTCTCACAATGTCAAACACTGAATCAAAACTAACTAGTCATACAATAAGTCAAAATCATATGATCAAAAGCCGAACAAGAAATAACAGTAAGGGGCCTGTTGAGCATTCAGATGGTCAGGTTCTCTGAGAAACAAGCTGTAAAGTGCCAAGTTTTGTGCACAGGTTTTTGGGGAGCGTTCTTGGGGATGACGCCATGGAAGGGTGAAGGAAGCAGGACTGTGCAGAGGCAAAGAGGAACCGCGCTCCCTCAGAGTGGAGCCGACCCCCACCCAGTGCTCACCGGATGCAGGCTGTCCCTGGGGACGGGGGGGCTTCGGTGTGACTTAGGGCCACGTGGCTCTGTTCTAGAGGGCAGACTCTAACAGCAGGCCCCACTGAGTGCTCTCAGCCACCAACAGTCCCAGAATCTGCTGGACTTTCTGACAAAGAAATCTGGGCGGTACACTACAGCAGGAGTCACAACACCTATGATTAACACGCTCAATAATTAAAAGACAAAATTAAGAATTCCAGGTGAAGAACGTGAGGCCTAGAGAGGAAAAGACTGTGCACAACTGGGTAATATTAGTGTTGAGACCAGTACTTCAGGCTTACAGATTCAAACCCACATCTTTTTCAGTACAACCACTAACTATGCCTCGGTCAAGTCTCTGTTTCCCTATAGCTCATGCTTTGATGCCTGTGGGAGGCAGAATAATGGCCCCCAAAATGTCCGCATCCCAATCCCCAGAACCTGGGCAAAGCGACTTTGCAGATGTGATTAGGTTAAGGATCTATCTAGAGATGGAGATTATCCTGAATCACGTAGTCACATGGGTCCTTACAAGCAGAAAACCCTTCCTGGCTATTATCAGAGGGATGCATCACAGAAGAAAGAACCAGGGAGCACAAGAGGGGCGCAGGAAGCCTGCAGAGGGTGCGGGCGGCCGGGGGCATGTGGGCCACAGCTGCTCCAGCCTCCAAGGATGGAAGGAGCCCATGGACAAAGGGACACAGGCGCCTCTAGACACTAGAAGAAGCAAAGTCACAGATTCTCCCCAGCCTCCAGGAAGGAACGCAGCCATACCAATGCCTTGATTTTAGCCCAGGGAGGCCCTTGTTGGGCTTCTGAACTGTAAGGCAGTAAGTGCTGTTCTTCAGAACCATGAAGTTGCTGCTGACTTGTTACGGCAACAACAGGAAACTGATACCATCATACACAGTTCACTACATGGGCCACTGTCCACATGCAGCTAGGAACAGATGCCCTACCCCCTCCTCTATCACATCTAATTCCTACATGTTTTTCTCAATTTCTTGAACAATTCTTTTTAAAACAGGGTATGAGAAACACGGAAACCACTCTGTGTCCTGACTACTCTGTCTGGTTTTGATTTTGTTTCTGAGCATCCATCACCAAAAGGTTTGGTGACAGTTTCATGTCATGCTCCATAGCACCTATGTCCCCACCCCTCCTCACAAAGGGTTTCTGGCACAAAAATATCAACTACCAAAATACATCTCAGTAACGCCAAGAAAATATACGTCCAAAGCAGGATTCACATTATTAGACACCCGGAGGGAAAAGTCTCTTCTGGCCAATATGCCTACAACTTCTTCAACACAAGTAGACTGGACAATTTTTGGAGTCTTAGATAGATCTCTTTGCAAAACTGATGAACTCACTGTGAATCTATGTACCTTCTGCCAAAAACGTACATACAAGTAAATTTGCACATAACATCAGCAAATTCAGACCCTCCAAATCTGAGCTAATTTAAACACCACTCAGAGAAAAATGATTCTCTGAGGAAGCGTCCACGCCATCACAGAGAGACAAAACCCCACCTGCTCCGAAGAGAGAAGCCCAACTCAGCAGAGGGGACACAGGACCGGGACCAGCGTCAGACAAGAGCACTATGTCTCAAGCAGAGGGACATGTTATCACCCCAGAGAGAAAAAGCCTGAAAATCCACAAAAACAGGACCCAGAAGAGGACTTAGCTGAAAGGAAATGATTATTTTCCATTAAAAGATTCGTCTGCGCTTTGAGTCAGTAATCGCGAGCTGACTACACAGCGCAGGCGCGGTGGCAGGTGCCGCGGAGGGTCCCGCGGAGGGTCCCGCGGAGGGTCCCACGGAGGCCAGGACATCGGCCCTGCCCTCAGGGAACAGACTCGCAGGAGAAGACGAGACCTGAACAGAGCAGGTGGAAAATGACCGTGTGGCAAAGCCGCGGGCACAGACCGCCCAGGAGCAAATGGGCGCTCATCAGAGCACACCAGGCGGAGGGCAGCACTGAATGCCACCACCTTGGAGAGAAGAAAACCAGAAAGGAGTACGTTGTCTTGGCAGCTGGAAGCCTGGGAACAAGGTCAGTTCAGGCCACCAGGGCTGCTGGGTGCCGGTCGTAGGCACACAGCCAGCCTCGGGCTGAAGCAGTTCGGACCCCAGAACCGCACTCCTGCGCAGGAATCACGGGAAACACACACAAAATAGAGTCTACGAGATCATCTGTTTCAGAGAGCAAAGCAGCCGCAGGTTTGCAAAAGCCCCACAAACTTGACAGTACCCATTCCGTCACCACAAGAATTTTATCGGGTAAAATTATAATCATAATTTAACTCTGGCCATGTGGGTGACAGAGGTGTATGTGTCCGTAATTCTGGTCCTTTGATGAAGTGAGTGATGAAATGACCTTCCTAGGCTCGTCGTAACCATAGTTCTGGGGTGTTCCGATGGCCTTGTTATAGGAAGATCAAATTTTAGGGTATAAGAGGCTACAACACATTTGCAGGTATTGTATCCTGATGCACCTTCATAATTCAGTGAAGTAGACCCAAAGTCAAGGTGGATAATATTATTCCTACTCAGGAGATAAAGGCACTGAGGACCAGAGAGGTTACGTGACTTTGTCAGGGTCACAAAGCCCCTAGAGGAAGAACAACGCAGACTCCCAGGCTTGAGTCTGGTTCTCTCCCTGTCGTGAGGACGCAGGGACCTGGCCACACAGGTCAGAGGTCTATGGGACTGAAGTTAGAGCCTGGCTGACCTTGTCATCACGCCATGCCCTGTTCTCAAAAGAAAAGCCACAGCACTTTCCGCACACGGCCTTCTCTCCATCTGCCTCACCGCCGAGGGGCCAACCCAGGACCAGGCAGCTGGACACACCGAGAAGCCTGGACACAGGGAAGGGGCGTCGGAAGCGTCATGAAAGCCCTTCTCCATTACGGGAGACACAAACCTCACGACCCTCCAGGACTCCACGAGCACATACCCCCCTTCCCCACCCCCACCAGGAAATTCAAAATTGTTTTCATTTTCTCACCAGCCTGAGCAGGTTAACGCTCACTCTGGGTAAACCCCCCACCGAGAGCCGCACCCCAGGCGAGGGCAGGGCGACCCGTGAAGGCCAGCAGGAGGAGCAGGACTTTGCTCTAAGTAGGGGGGACCCAGGGTGGGCTGCTCTCTCTACCCTGAGCAGTCTCCCCCCGGAAACGGCCTCTTTCCCAAGAGCGGCCCCCAGGTCACCGGGGTGAAGACCAGGAAGCCAGAGGTGATGGGATGCGTGTCTCCACAGCAGATTGTGTTCTACACACGAAAGAGAGTAAGGCCCCAACGTCTCACTCTGTGCTAAGTACCTACTTGTCTCCCGTGCCCCGATCACACTTGCAGGCCCGCGGGGCATGAGAGACGCCGCTGGGGACCACGGGGCCACAACACACAATCACGCATGTGGTCACTCGCGCTCACCCCTGGTCGTGCAAATGCCCCCTCTCAGCACCACCAGGGGCTGCCGCCCGCCCCGCGCCCGCCCCGCCGGCTCCTCTCCAGCCCCTGGTGCAGCCCAGCCCCCACCCTTCAGCAAAGAGCTCACCTCACACTTGAGCAGCAGCACGGACACCACCAGCTGGCCTTCTGGAGATGCCGCCCCCTGCCCGCCTCACCAGAGAAGGGGAGCCTCTTGCCCTCCTGCAGCCCTCTTTCTCTTTCCCCCTCCTCTTCTCTGGCTTCTTCCCCTTAACTGGGAAAATCAAGTCACGCGTCCCCTTGTCCTTTGAAAATGTCTTACCTTGACTCATCCACCTTCATTCCTGCATTCACCGCCAAGCGTAATGGTGGTGTAGACAGGGAAAGCCTTCCTCAGCTCTGACCCTCCCTCCCTCCAATAA